CCTATAGTGAACATTATAAAATATAACTTTACGATCTAGTTCCCTTACAGGAACATGGCTGCTAAGATCTTCCCTTTTCAATCCTATCATCATCTTTGCGAATCTTAGCATGCCATATGGAACCTTTTCTCTTTCCGAGACGCCACAGAAGTTCTTGTCTGTCACACTGTCACCAAAGCCTGAGCCCCTTAGGTCCCTCAGATATGGCCTCCCTTTTTTCCTTTGGTGAGCTCACCGCCGACGAGAGGATGTTGGTCGTTGCACACTTACACCTAGCTTTTACAGTATTGCTGCCTAACAATTTTAGGCCCGTTTTGTAGGGCTCTGATTCCGGCTTCTCATAGAAATATGGCTTCTACCCCATTTGGTAGACCTGAAGCCATTTTTTCAAACATTCGGCAAAAATGGCTTCAGTAGCAGTTTTTTTAATAATTTGTATTAGATTTGTGAGGAGGAGCCTGGAGAAGTCATCTTTTTCGGCTCCGACCCCTTACAATGAGCTGAAGTCATAAATAAGTGATAAAACATCGAAAGTATGTGTTTACATGGTTTGATCTCAAGACCTTAACAGTCGCGTTCTCTCGAGCGTCCATACCAGTAGAGTTACGTGACACATGTGAGTACACAACTGATGTTATTCTTTTAACTACACAATTTCTAATCTTATGTTTTATATTTGACACTCTAAACAATCTCAAATGAAAAAGTTGTTAACAGAAAAGTTACCAATCTCATTGAGTACTATAACTTTGTTGTTAACTTTGTCTTCATTCAACATTATTAACCATCTCAAATCCAAGAAATTTTATTGAAAATTTCGACATGTAAACCATCTCAAATTAAAAGTTGTCAACTAAAAAGTTATATCTCTCTTTGAACTATACAATTTTGATATAAACTTTATCTTGATCCGACATCACATGAAAAAATTATGATTTCTTTTTACAAAACACCCTATCACTAGCGGTACAAGCCACAAACTGACAGTGATAGATGGACTATCACTGCTGGTTCATGATACTGGTGGTTGTGGCCACGAACCGACAGCGATAGTCCACTTATCACTGTCGGTTATAGCCATGATTCGACAATGATAGAGTGCTCTTAGATATACGGGTTTGGTAGAGTGCGGTTCTAAACCAGCAAAAAAAATCGCTAATACTTGGCCACGAGCGTCCACCCCCATCCGGACGCTATCTCCATGGGCCTGCGCAGCAGAAACCCAACAGGCGTGCTCTTCCCCATCGCACTCGCATCTGGCTGTCGGGGCATCACCGCGCATCCGCCGCCGCACTCTGCCCCGCCGCATCCTGTTCCCCACTGCATGTCCGTCCCCCGCGCATGCATCGCCCTTCCCCTACCGCGCCTCGCGCATATTCACCGGCGCGCCCCCGTCCACCTCGCCGGTTCGGACTTTGTCTCCCGCGGCAGGAAGGGGAGGCCTGCGCACGCTGGGCCGTTTGCTCTCGACTTTCCCTCTAGACCTGAGCTTACTGGTTACCGTAGTCCCCCACTAGGTAGGCCATGGATGCCGGCGACGTAGTGTTTGAAGTGTTTCAGGCATTTGTTGTAAAAGACAATATGGGATGTTGCATATGTTGCAATGTCAATATACTCATGTTGCAATCCTATGTTTCAAGTGTTTCAGGTGTTTTAAGCATTCGTTTTAAATGTTTCACCTGGATGTTTTAAAAGTTGATCTGGTGTTTGCACATGTTGCAATGGCTATACACGCATGTTCAAGTGTTTCATCTGTTTTCAGGCATATGTCAAAATGTTTTATCTGGATGTTTCAAAAGTAGATCTTGTGTTGCAGGCCGTTGTCCGCCTATTACTGCTGGTGCGCTGCCGTGGTTCACGTGATGGCGCCTGAGGCCTGTAGACGCCTCCACGGCACGCATCCGCAAGCGGGGCAGGTGGGCGGTTACGCCGTGCGGACACGGGATGGGCGCTGGGGCATGATTCTGCCGTGCTGGGCGCTGGCGCTGGTTGGGAACAGGACGGACGCGTGAAATGCGATGTGGGCACGGGGGGCGCGGGAGCTGTGTCTGGACGCAGGCCTGGTCCCGTAGGTTCAGACGCTAGCTTTATCGAAAAAATGATGTCATGCTTTATGCTCCTTTTGACGCTGATGAAGGAGTTATACTTCTTGAATCGCGCACATGTCATTGACCGTGTAGTCTCACGGGATGTGACTTCGATCACGATGAGGCGTGTCCTCGACCCCTGTTGCTCCTCCGCTCCCAGTGCCTCGAGTGCGGGGGCACGTGGTCCTTGGGGAAGCGCGCAGGGGGGGCGGGGTCGGCGCATGTGGCGAGTCGAGGTGGGGAGCCATGGTGGTGAGCTCATCTCTGTGTGCCGACCTTTTCTTGTTGGGCTACTACCCACACACCCTAGCCCTCACATCTCCCATTCCATGATCTTGCCGGTGGCTACAGGGCACATCCCCCATCAGACGCCACCGCTCTGCTTCAACGGATGGCTCATGTTCATGTACCGATCCCAGAACTATGATTGCAGCCGTAACAACTGCAGCCTATATAGTGTCGTCTTCTGCACTCCATCTGAAACGAAAGTAGACATGTTAGACAACAAATACTCCGTACTTTGTCAATCACACTTGTCAACTACATAAATTTCCGTGTGCCCCTCAACTTCGGTAAACGTAACTTAGCTAATCTCTCCATTTTAAATTATAAGTCGTTCTGATTTTTCTAGATACATAGTTTCTGCAACATATCTACACATAATATATATTTAGTGCATAGCCAAAACTACGTATCTAGAACAAGTCAGAACGACTTATAATTTAGAACCGAGGAATTACGTTCTACAGGCACCATGAGTGAAAATTTGAAAAATTCATGTGTCAAAATACATCTCAACAAGGAAAACCATACTATAAAAAATTCCACCATGTGTTCGTTTTTCTCTTTTGGATTTGGGAAATCCAAGTCCTGGAAGGGGCCCAAATTAAAAAGAACCATTTCCGGGGGAAAAAAAAAGTCCCATTATACTAACTATATGTACGTTTCTCACAAGATGAGTAGCAGTGTTGAGTGAAGAAAGAAATTGTTGTGCTTACCGACAGTGTCGAGAGCGCACGGAGCACAGGTAGAAGACGCAGACCTGCACAAGAGAGCACGAGGCATCAGCGCTGGATGAGAACGGAAGCGAAGCTAGCCCGCCCAAGGACAGGGCAGGGCAGGGCAGGGCGCCGGCGTACGGCGTTGCGGAGCTCTGCCTCGGTGAGCTGCTGGATGAGGAGCGCGAAACTGCGGGAGACGCGCCGCAGCATGGCGTACGCGAAGGACCAGTGCTCCCCGGTGGCGCCGGCCGCGGCCTGCCTGCGCGCCAGCTGCTCGGCCATCAGCAGCTTCACCTCCACCAGCGCCGTCGATGCGCCTTGTACCATTCTTTTTTTAAACAAAAACAAACAGTAAGAGCTCTTTTTTCCGAAAATGCAGGAGAGTTGCGCTTCGTTATATTAAGAAGAAAATATAGGACAAGAACCCAAACACCCACACACACTCTATACACATCAAGCTAAAATTTTAGATTACATTTTCGCCTGATAAATATAAAAAGACGACCACAAAACCAATAACTAGGCCACTCTAAGGCAAAAGTGCCGGGTAATCAAGGAAGAGAGGCTTTGTGCGCCTACTATCTCTCAAAGACGTCGTTCCTCGCTGCTAACATTAAGAGCCCTTGCAATGCTATGAGCAGCTCCGTCAAAAACACACAAATTGCGGTGAGTCCAAAGAACCCAAGCACCTAAAACAACCAGAGAATTGAGACCTTTCTTTTGCTGTTCCGGAGCAGCATGCCACAATCTGTCCCACCAATCATCGAACACCATATCAGTTGCCTGAGGAGCGAATTGTTGCAACCCAACCTGACATAGCAGGGAATACCAGTATTGCCTTGCAAAGGGACAGGATACTAGAAGATGGTTAATTGTCTCTTGCTCCTGATCGCATAAAGAACAACGTTCTGGACAGGGCAGGCCTCGACGAGTAAGACGATTAGCCGTCCAACACCTGTTATGTTCGACTAACCATAAAAAGAACTTGCATTTTCCGGGGGCCCACGTCTTCCAAATCCATTCCAAGGTCTAAATAGAATTGATCCTTGAAAGAGATGTTCATATGCAGATTTTGCTGAGTACTGTCCTGAGGGGGATAGAGCTCTGCCTTTCAGTTAAGGAAGGAGAGAAAAGTTTTATGCACAGGTCTTAGTTCAGCAGAAAGGGGAGGCAAAGGAGGAAAAAAAAATCATCAAACACTGATAGCGTGAATCCTAGCTTGCTAGCCTTTCCTTTGTAAAGCCCTTTTCCTTTGTGCAGTGTCTTCCTCGACTCTTGGCAACATGTAAAGCCAATTCCTGGGCATTCTTGAAAATTCTTCTATTTCTCTCCTTCCAAATATTCCAGCATGTGTAAATCACCAAACTGTTGAAGCGTCTTCTTTCTTCTTTTGCGACCTTGGGCATGGTCTCTTCCCACCATGTTCTCAAGTGGGCAGGATCTTGGTCGAACTGTGTCAGTTGGGTGTCAAAATTTTTCATGAAACGTGAACGAATAGCCGCCAAACTTCAGTGAGCATATGAAGCCATATGCTGCACTGACAATGTTCATGAAGATCGAAAAGAGTTGTCCAAAAAACACTTTTCAAACATCTTCAAGCGCAGAATCCTGTATCCATGAAATGTAATGTGGCAAACTGGCAAGTAAAAACTGATGAAAGAATGATACAGATAGGTGCAGATCTCATGCCATACGGCCATGCAACACATGAAGGCCTCAGTTCTCTAAAACAAAATGACTCAAGCTTTATTTTCCTAGGTCAAACAATTATCCCTCTATGCTAATACTAGCACAAAAAGTTTTGAAAAAGAAAAGGAAGAAGAAAAAAACAAATGAGTGGAGGAATAGGTTGAAAGAATATACTATTGATTATTATACAATGATCTGCCTACAAAAAACGCCAACTTGCAAACTAGGAGCTGCCGTGGGATTTGAACGATGACATGGAGTGCGCTGAAACTGAGGCCGTTGGGCTGTTCACTTCCCTGTCACCATTGGCAGCTCTACCCCTTCCACTGATCATGCTGACAACTTCTTGGGAGACATCCATGAACCAATCGTCGCCCGGAAGGACACTGCAAAAAAGCAAGAATGTTGGTTTGTTGATAGTAGAAGCAAAAATCTGTGAGAAACTCCCTCATGGCCTCATGGGCAAGAGAAAACCAGCTGTAGCTCTGTTAGAAACTACCTCAGCGGCACAGCCTCATGTATCAAGAAACATGTGAGGGAATCCTTGCAAGACTTTTCAGAAGTATGACTGAACTAAGGGTAGGTAGGATGCCTTTGTTAGTGTTCAAGTACAGCAGCTCAGTGTTTCTAAAGCATCAGGTGCCTAGATGATGAGGCGCTCGCAGGGAGCAAGGCGTCCCGCCACCCAGCCAAAAGTAGTGAGAGATCCAAAGAGACTGGAGGTGAAAGAGAGGAAAACGATATATGGAACCAACCAGCAAGACCATTGAGCCACCTCCTCTCTCATCCCCACCAAATCAGGAGCCGGCAACCAGTGCGCAGCACCGCCTGGATCATCTGCAGCGGCGGCGGCTGATCCAGAAGGGGGACACAACAGAGGTCGATCTGAGGGAGCAGCAGCAAGAGAGAGGGAAGGAGCGGAGCCGCAGATGAGCAGAGGGCAGGCTGCCCGCGCGCGAGTGAGAGGAGCATGGGAGATGCGGTGGCGCTGCACCTACATGAGAGAGAAGCAGAGAGCCAGGCCCAGGCGGCGTGCATGGACATGGGAGTGTGCATCCCTGTCTCTGTGACCTGAGAAGGGATATGTATGGAAGGGACCTCATGGGCAAGCTCAGCCAATCACTCTTTTCATTTGCCCTTTTCTGGTTTTTCTTTTTCTTTTTCCTTTTTCTTTCCTCCCTGCTGTTATTTTCCTATTTCTTAGGATGGTAAGGCATCGCCTAACCTCGCCTTATGAAGGCCCCTAGGCATTATGAGGCGGTATGTCGCCACGCCACGCCTTACCACCTTAAAAACCATGCAGCAGCTAACAATGAATTCAAAAGGTAGATGTTTGGTATCAGTTAGCTGAAGTTTAAGAGATTGCTTCGTACATTCTTTTTCATTTTCTGAAAGCTATTTGAATAATTATCGAGGTCTTCTCTTATAGCCATTTTTCTCAAAAGTCAAAACCATCCTAGTAGGGCAATTTGTTTAGGTTACTACCGGCTGCCAGTTGCAATTACTGTAGGCTACAGAGGGCAGCAGGCTACAGCCTACAGGGACATATAACCCAAGTTATAACTTATTCTTCATCCTCTTGTTTTCTAGAGAGAGAAACATCGGTGTAATCCAAATTATACAAGGCAAAATACAACAAATTTACATAATGAAAATTAGCAATTTTTTAAGTATGGAAATAAAAGAATCAGCATTTAATTCTGAACCAAAAGAAGGGCAAACGTGAGAAGCATTGTACCTATCAGGATTCATTCCAGTAGCAGAAAATGCAGCCATTGCTCTATCAATGATGTCCAAAATGATTTGATGTACATGTCTAGAGAGAAAACGACCTTGCCCAAATATGATGACAAATTGCATGTCCAGGTAGAACTGCAAAGAATGGAAAATTTGAAAAATAACAGTTGGCGAAGTAAATAAAATAAAAAGGAGTAAAGGGGCTTACCTGTTGCAGACCTAGGGGGCCTAAAGGTTTTGCTCCCTGTTCAATCTCTTCCCAGAAGGCCTGGTCCTCTGAGAGCCACAGTATGACTGTCTCAGTGAGGCGCATCATTAGCAAAGTAGCAAATCTTTCTCTACCAACAAACATTTCTGCAGCAACGCTTGCCATCCTGTTTAACTTTGCATACAGTTCCTGCAATAAACAGCAGATGACATTTATCCAAAGACTATAGTATTATCTATGACACGCTTGCCCCATGCAAACAAAAACAACTCGTTTTGACAAAAGAATCTTCGCCATGAAACCTGCTATCTTAACAAATTACATCCAATATGAAGCATGTAAGCAACAGAGAAGGCCTATTTATCAAAGTGGCAAGTCCATATGACCCCTTTTTACCTATTCTTTTTTTGTGTGACTATGCTACTCAAATTTTGATAGTGCAACATTGGGCTATTAAAATTGTGCTAATATGATTTTTTTTTTTTAAACATATTCCAGGGTTCAACTAGAAGAGTCGTCAAAATTAAGGTGGGTAATATAAGCTTCTCTTTCAGAATTCTACATGAAACCCATCCATCCTAGTGACTTAAACACCATGGTTACCAAAAGCATTCACTTTTGTCCATATGCTCAATTAATTTAGTCCCTAATGTCCTCTTTTAGGTATATGATCATGATAAAATGACTGGTTATAATAATACACAAAGGTTTCCAAGCAACAGAATGAAAAGATGTACAATGGTCTTGAAGTTGGTATCTTATAGACTGAGACGTTAGTTTGGAAGGGGAATTAGAAGGACAAAAGCATATGTTAATAATCTGAAATTATCCAAAATCCCAGGTATTTACATGAGAAACACCCAAACGATTGATTCCAAGTACCTGGAAAATTGGAGATGGAACCCACTCTGGTTCTTCAACAGTATTGTCCATGCTGATATACATTTCTGCGCTGAGATGAGTATCACCCTCATCTGTAAATATAAGTTCAAGAGCATGCTGCCTGCAAAAACTATCTCTCAACCTGTCCACCATTCTTTGTAGTTTTCTTTTCCATTCACGTTGCTCAGGCACACGATTTTGTTTATCTGTTCCTCTTTTACGCAAATCATCCATAGACTGGTTTATTGACGATAACTTCATAGCTGCTCTAGGTAGTAACTCCTCAGCTAGTAGAGATGCATTAGCTAATAAAGCTAACTGCTGCTCTTCAGTCTCTGCCATTCTAACAATCTTATGACCTAAACCATCTAAGTTAGCTTCATCATCCATGGAACCAGGTAAAGCACTTATAAGCAAATTTACATATGAATTGAAAATTTGTGTGATCCCGTCCATTGTTGAACCACCTAATTGCAAGCTAAGTAGTGGTGCAACGTCCTCAAAGAAATCCTGAAATTCAACAAGACAGGCTTAGTATAGAGCCAAGATACAAGCTATTCATCACTTCCGAAGAAGCTGACTGCAATGGAAGTAGTGTCTAGCAAATATTTCTTGAATGCAAAAGTGAGGACAAGGAAAATTCTGTTTCAAGTTTAAGCAAAACTTTCATGATTCAACTAGTGATTCAAGACAGCTCTGCTGGCATCATCAATCATTCTAGTGATTGCACACCTACTGTATCAGTTCAACACACTATAACTAGTCTGAAATACATAAAAAGGACAGGAGAAAAAGGCCATCTGAGGACTTTCTGAGAAATTAATGCAACATTTGGTGAATCTTGCATCTTTGATGAGAACATAAGTTCAACAGACAATGCAAGTAAGAACAGGAAACAAAGATGGAGTTCAAAAGGACGCCTGAGGTAGTGGCAAAAGAAATATTTGGTCATAGACACGTCGCTATGCCATGCCATATAACACTGTAATCGGAGCTAGGATGCTTGATTGCGATCTGTGTTTAGAATTGGAAATGGATTCAGGCAACATTGATTACATACAGTAGGAAGCAAAAAAGTGTAACAGTAATGCATACTCTCTGTAATGTGGTTGTGTTACATTTTAGAGAACCAAACAGTATCTTTGTTGGTACAAGATTTTAAAAAAGATTATTATCATCTGTCTGGACACAACAAAAAGATAGATTCGTTCTTGTAATTTAACGATAAGAGGTAACCATTACCTGAACCATTGAATTGAAACGGTGTGCGCTGCTAGAGAGCTTTGGCTGAAGTGCCAAATTAGCAGCAGACGATCTAATTAATGGACGAATACCAGTTGTGGGATATGTGAGTATCCAGTTATCAGCTGCGGCTAGTGCAGCAGTACTCTCCTCGATTCTCCTCAAGTTAGCATCTAATGCTTGCTCAAGACTGGGCTTGAATTGTTTGAGGAGAACAGATGAAACAGACAGACCACGAGCTTCCAGCAAAGAACAATGGCCAAGTGATATCTGAACACATTCTGCAGCTGCGCTCAAGCCTCCAGCAGCTGCACAAGAGGACAACACATGCCTCTTTACCAGGAGCGCAAAGGACATAACCTGCTTGGTAGCCCATGTTACCAGTTCAGATGCGTAACATGACTCGTCACCAAAGACATCCACAGAGTCACTGAGTGCCTGAGCTATGACTGAAAAAACTTGTTGAGCAAGTGCTGCAGTGTATGCTCCACCATATGACGTGCTAGATGGATGTATAGTTTGCATATTGCATTGAAGCCTTTGATTATGTGCACTGAGTAAGAGGCTGTGAGCTCGGGGGCCATCACCAAGTCTTTTGAGGGCAGAAGCCGCAGCTCGAAGCTCAATACCACGAGTGGAAGACTGACAAGCAGCTTCAGCAAGCTGATCTGCCAGCCTCTGACGATTATCAGAGACGGATCTTTTCAAAGCCGAAACTTCAGCTGCAGTTAGAGTCTGTTTTCGTTTTGCATCAACAGCAACCCGTTCTGCTTCATCCAGTGCATCCAGTGCTTCATCCACTCTTCGTTCAGCTAGCAAAACATCAAGCATGTCAGGGAAATCTGCAGACCATTTCTGTATTTCTGAAGGCTCCTGATCTTCAACATTGGATATGTCATCTTCTGCAGAACCTTCAGGGCCTGAAGTCAATGAATCTATCTGAACTCCTTCAGATAGACCGTGAATTAAAGCTGCCTGTGTATTAAGCAGATTTCTAATTGACAGTAGCTCCCCTTCAAGGTCTGATATCTCCTTAGATGTTCTGATGACAAGAAAATCCATATGAAGTAATTATTTGAGCAAAGGATGTCCCACAATGGTACAAAGCAAACTTTGATTTCACATGTCACAAACTAGACACTAAAGAAGAAAAGTTCAGGGCGAATATAAAAAGATAACATTGATACAACCCTCAATCAATAAAAACAGGTATGCTAATACTAGATAAGGAAATAATCTTTGGAATTGTCAAGGCATTTGAGAGAAACAAAACCAGATATACATATGAATGAGAGGACAAAGATATTATCAACACAACAATATAGTAGGCAAATACCTTTTCATAAGCATTGGTTTAATGGATTAAATAATTCAACTCATAAAGAAAAAGATTTGAATAGCCCTCAATTACTAAAAAATTAATAGCTGTTTCTGTAGGCAGCATTCAGCATGATGATGGTTAAGAGCTGTTATGCGAAAGAAAAATAAATGATAATAAAAAGATACTACACAATGCCATGCACTGTTCACCAGCAATGTCGCTGCTCGCCTCCCTTCAGCAACATGGTTGAGGTCCACTCACATCCTCCCAGTCCACTGCGCCCCCTATCGACCTCACCATCCACTGTGCCCCCTCCTGACCTCCCTATTCTGGCCACTCCATAGCCACCATGGCCGCAGGCTCATTCGCAACCATGGCTACGGCATTGATGGCAACCGCATGAGGTGCTGAGGACAGCGAGGGCAGTCATGGCAACCAGTCAGATCCATGATTAATCAATTCTGTCTGTTTGATGGATGCCCTAGTTTCTTGTATGTATTCGTTGCTTGGCTGAATGGATTGCTTGAATTTATTGCATTTGTGTCACCCTTTTGAGGGGAGTTTCTCTTGCTGCGGTGAGAGCCATCGGGTGACAACTGGATCTCAAGTGCTTATTAGCCATGGGTTTGGGTGTTGCAGGTGCGTGCTTGGTTTTATGTCCCAAGATTTGTGGTGGAGGGCTGTTTAATGCACCCATATCTAACCCAACCCGTTGCCATCCCTAAATAGCACAACACATTTAAGGAAATTTTGCAGAAGAGGTGAATGCCAGACCTGATAAATGCAGCATAATTTGCATAAACACTTCATGCATCTCTTCAGCTGAAGCCTTCTTTAGGTCTTGGAGATAAGAACACAAATGTCTTATTTCCTGCAATGAATTTGGTTTTCTTGTCAGTTATTTCTGGTGCACACTCTAACAATATACTGATCGCTCAGGTGGAATTCAACACTTCAACAATGTCAGCAGCATACGAAACAACAATAAGCAGATAACTAGGAGAGTAGGGCAGATGTCTTAAGAAACAAAATTGTGAAATGCCAAGAGAGTAAAAAGACCAATGCCAATGTCATCATGCCTCAGAAAATAGCATTAGCTAGTGCATTATAAAGAATCCATAAAAAATCCATGGAAATGCATTACTACATATCTGCATCCCAGATATTGAAATATGACAAATTTAAAAGCTATGGAAAGTGAGAAATTCAGTCCAAATTATTCTCATGAACCAAATCCACTGTCCAAACATGAAAGTCAAATGAAGAGATTTTATTTTTTTAGCAAGAACAAATTAGGAATATTACACAGTGGTTATACTAAACCAGAAAAAAAAAATAGGAATTTTGCTGAAATGCCAAAACCAAAAAAGATCAGCAGCCTTTCATACAATTCAAACAAGAGATGTACAATACTCAGACTCCTACAAAGGGATGGCTGTAGATCCAAAAGTTAAAAATTTCTAAACTTGCATGGATCTTGTTAGGCTGGAGGGAAGTTATCCCAGTTGCCACAAAAAGCAAACATTGAAGTAACACCCTTAGTGAGGAATAGAGAAAACACATGATACAAAATCTGTTGCATTCCCAATGGTTTACTCAAAAGCTACCACAAAACTAAAAACCCTAACTCAATTAATATAGCATGCAAGGGCAAATTCTTTAAATTGAGTAGCTTTTCAAGCTGCAAATGATGCCAAAAGAACAAAACACCATTTTTTCTATCACCAAAAAAGCAATGTATTTAGAACACAGAGATGTCTTAGCATGGTCATGGTCCCTTTAATTGCTCTGATCATCATAATTAGGTATGGACTCAAAACTTCTGTAGCAATAGCCATATACCAAACTCGAAATGCACTATTTCCAAAAGCAATGGCATGAATTCCCCATGTCCACCAGAAAATTGAATATAACCGCATTTCATTTCTAAATGGCAGCATAAACATAACCACATTTCATTTCTAAGTAAAACCCGACACATAACAATATCATGATGCAAACTGAAGAGTGGCAGCATATCCAAGCGTAAACTCAAGTATTTCAAAATCCCTGGCTTGTACTCAAATGTGCAGATAAAATCATAAGGCAATACTCCGTTGTTTGGGACATACTCAGTTTTCTAATTTGAACACACAACACAATAAACAGAAAAAAAAATTGCCACCAGTATAAAAATTCTTCCCCAGACACCCTTCCCTGTGACCGCCTGGTGCAAGCAGTAGAGTCTTACCGCCTGTGACCGGAAGGTCCCGGGTTCGAGTCGCGGTCTCCTCGCATTGCACAGGCGAGCGTAAGGCTTGCCACTAACACCCTTCCCCAGACCCCGCACAGAGCGGGAGCTCTCTGCACTGGGTACACCCTTTTTTTATAAAAATTCTTCCTCTAGATGAGTGGAGCATCCAAATTCCGATATGATCCCCACAAGTTATGCCAGATCATTTTTTCACTGCAAAGTACCCATTGCGCTAAGAACACACACACACATTGAGATGTCCATCAAGCACCCTCCTGCAAAATGTCGAAGTGCATTCCCTGAATCACCAATCGTCCAGAGAACAGAATCACCCCCTGTTGCGCAATTCGCCTGAATTCCAACACCAACCACTGCCCCCACAGATCACATTCGCCTACTCCAATAGACACCCCACCATGCAACAACGAAATGAGACCTCTCCCCACCACCCCCGCGGTCCAACCCACCCTGACAACAGGCGCAGCAGCAGGATGGGAGACGGCGAGCTGGACCTCGCAACGCGGCCGGATCAGAGATGGCAGGCAGGCAGTCTCACCTTCTCGTTCATGGTCTGGCACTTGGACTGCACGTAGGCGTCGGGATCGAAGTTGTCGGTCTTGAAGATCTTGAGCTTGTCGGCGAGCTGCACCCCGCCGTCGCCGCCGCCGCCGCCCCCGCTCCCCACCGCGGCGGCGCTGCCCACGGGGAACACCCCCGAGTGGCCCGCGGGCCGCGACCGCGACGACTTGGCCGACGCCATCCGAGATCCAGAACGCCTCCTCACGCGACGACCGGGCCTCCTCTAACTCCTCCTCGGCAATGGCGAATGGATGGGTTCCTCGAGACGGAGTTGGCGAGGGGGAGATTGCTGCGGTTGCGGGGTGGTGGGAGTTGTTGCTCGCCAATCAATCAATCGATCAATCAAACGAACAAATGCAGGGGAGGAAGGAGACGAATGATTTGGGGCGACTCGGCTTGCCTTGGCTGGCGTAGGCTGGGTTGGGTTTGGTACTTGGTTTGGTTCGCAGAAGAATACGATTATTTTTTGTATTTTTGCGTCGAAAATAGGCGACGATGATTTGTGCGTGGGATTACGCGTGCGCCTGAAGTTTAAGTTTCCGCCCAGACCTTTAGCTGTTATTCTACAGTGGAGTACATGACAATGACCTTGGAAATGGGCCATCAGGTTTGTTTCTGTTCGCCCCCGTACACCGAGTCAAACTATTTTAAACTAATAAAGAAAATTTATTTATATAAAAATGCCAATACTTTTTTATATTAAAAAATATCATTAGATTCACTGTTTTTTATTTACATATTTAGTGTCATGCGAATATTGATGATGTTTTCTATAAATTTGATCGGTTTTATTGAATGAAGGTACAACTAGGATAATATTTTTTTCAAACAGAGAAAATATGTGCTGCATGTTATTCCCAAACATTTTAATAGTTTTTTTTCTGATCATTTGTTGGTCTTATGGGGTTTCTTCGTCTCTCCCGTGCTCCGATAGCCGGTACTTCCTCTCCCTCTCTCACTCCTTGGTTGTACAATAAATATTACGCCCTCCGTTGTCAATATAAATTAAATGAAGTGCCTCAATGATGCCCTACAGGTCAAATTCACCCCTAGTTTCTTCGAGCAACAAAACTATCTATCGCGTTACCACAGGCAACAATTATGGGATGTATTGCGCTTAGAAGACCTAGAGTACGCCCAGAGACATAGATTTATAGTAGTTTATAGGCAGACACCCTACATCCGATGTATGATGGTGTTTGTATTGCTTGTGCTAGTATATTGAGGAGCACTAGAGATGTCTATTACACCCTTCTTTGTATAGTCCAGAGATGTATGGCTAATATAGAGCTCTGACCTAATTGGTTTATATAGATTAGTTTCCTAGTCGATATATTACAACAAAAATTCTAGACACCAAGGTATGCCTAATACAGCACATTGGCAAGATACCACCTGTAGGTACAGGAGTCCAAAAAGTAAGCCCTGACCCACCATCTTATTATTTCACATTATTTGAACTCAAGCCATGTAACAAATTAAAAGGATTACCTAGACTTAAAAGACTTGTCTTTATAATACACCTTATTGCATTTTCCATATATATGCAGATCTTACACGATTACAAAGTATCCAGAAAACAATATAGTAGAGGGGGCTCAACATAATAGACACTATACCGATTACCACCATAAGTTCATTACTATGCAAATATATGCATTTAAAGCAGTTTCAAAAGGAAAAACGAAGTAGAATGGTGCAAAATACGTCACAAGGAAGTAATGAAAAACAAATACGCAATTCGAGTCTACTAAATCAATAGATAATGCACTTTATGGGAGCAATCTATACACAAAATTCAATAGTTTAGCGTCAATTGGTAATAATAATGCATGACTTCAACATAATTCCCAACATTAGAGAAGGATTTGGTTCAAAAAAATAGTAGAATGTAGAAAATTGCTAAGAGGGTGAAATATTGAATCAGAGAGTCGATCAACTAAACTATTCTAAATTACATTTGCATGCCTTATTATTTGTTTTTTTTGAGGGGATATTATTTGCTTTCTGGCTTGCCGCAATACTGGTAGCAGTTTCGACCACTTCATCCAGGCTTTTAGGGCCTGTTTGACGCACTGCTCGCCCGAAGGCCTGAAAACGACTTCACAGCCCGATGCGCCGAGCTCGACACTCGGCAGCTGCATGCTTCCCCAGGCCCTAGCGCTCGACACGCCTTGCCCCATGCCCCATGCCCCATGCCCCCGTGGACCGTGGCCCGCAAGCGGCAAGCCACATCTCACGCTGCACGGGTGCGCGTCCGCTTGTGCAGACTGGATAGAGGCATAGAGCCACAACTTGTTGGGCTTGTGTTGTGTGAAGCCGATTTTTTTTTTCTTTTGTCACACTCTCTCGATTGAGGCCCAATAGCTATCTGCACTTCCCGTTGCTCAAAAAAAAAAAAACTATCTGCACTTCCCTGCTTAGGCCTTGTTTAGATGAGTGTTAGGAATCAGAATTTGACACTGTAGCACTTTCGTTTGTATTTGACAATTATTGTCTAATCATGGCCTAACTAGGCTCAAAAGATTCGTCTCGTAATTTACAATCAAACTGTGTAATTAGTTATTTTTTTATCTACATTTAATACTCCATGCATGTGTCTAAAGATTTGATGTGACGGAGAGAGAGTGAAAAAACTTGGAATCTAAACAAAGCATTAGCCCAGATGCTCATTCCCTTAGCCTGCTAGTACATGTCGCCACTTTGTTTTGTCCCCTTCCTGCAGCCACCCCAAGTCCCCAACTTCCCTTAGCTTCCATGATGCCACATGCTCGACTAAATAAAGCTTCCCAAAATACATTATTATTAGTAGAAACCAAGCACCAAGCACTAATGCTCTAAGAAAAGCTCCATACTGCATCCATGTGTCACTATCCCAAGATCCTTTCCCTCTCCTAGCGTCCAAGAACTGCACTAAAACCCTACCAGATCGGACATAGTGATCAGTCTGGCTACTATGAAGTTGTTATCAATCACGATCACGAAAGACTCAATTTTTAGTGACCAATCTAAAGTCGCCAAGGGAGAGGGGACGTAATGCAGTGGGCCTAGATATTATTGGCCTTGACGTAATCGATGGTGTCGCTACTCTTGACATGGAGCGTGATGTGCTTCCCCATCAGCGTCTTGATGAAGATCTGGGGATGTCTCGCCAGCTCCGACTCGCGATCAGGCATTCGATCTAGGCACACTGCTACCGCCCTGCCATTCGCACCGCTGCTAGCCAGCAATGGACTTCTTCATTTGTCACCGATCACGCGGCGACACAAGCGAGAAGGATGAGGAGGCGGTGTGTGAGAATGGCTCCTCTATGGCCACCAATCCCAACCCTGTGACAAAAGGCCAAAGGGGATCGTATCGGTGGATGTGCCATGGCCTACCGCCGGACGTACGTGACGTGACGTGACGTCCCCTGCCGCCACTGTAATAACCCCGGAACTTCTGGTCGTCGTATACGTTAAAGATTGTAGTTGTGGTCTTCTAAGCTTTGGTTTAGGTAGGTCTTGAGTATTGCATAGCTGTAGCACAAACATTTCTATACTAAAGTTATAGAAAAGAAAATTGCACAAAGACACTCTTTTTTCATTCAAAGTTGTATCTTCTTTCCTCGTAATAATACGAAAATTACAGCACCAAGCACGCACGCACGCACGGACACCACAAGTCGGCAACTAAACCGTCGGGATCGATTCCGGCCGGCCGCGTAATCTTCTGTCTCTGGTCGTGTCTGGGGCAGCGTATGCTCAGCTTCTGAGCGGAATAAGCAAGTAATCCCGCACAAACGGCCTGCGATCAGTGTCCAGTCGCGAACGCGCTTCCGCGATCTCCCGTCGCCCGCAACGTATTCGAAATCGCGAGCCTTACCCCGCTTTTCCTAAATCGCGATGGCTTTTCCTCTCCCTGCCCTCCCTCCGTGCTCCCGTTCGTTCCCTCCCCGGCGCCGCCTGCCATTCCCCATCGCCTGCTCGCCCGGCCCTCCCTCCTCTCTCCAGATCCGCCGCCGCCTCCCATTCCCCAACGTCTACTCGCCTCCCGGCGCCCCTTCCTCCCCTCTCTCAGCCCCCCCCCCGGCGGGCGCGCGGCCCTCCGGCGAGCACGCGGCCCCCGGTGGGACTGAGGCGGGCATGCGGCACCCCGGCGAGAGCGAGGCGGGTCTCCTGGCGGGCGCACGAGGCCCGTCCCCCTTCTCCAACGGTGGCGACGCCGTCTTTGGGAGGCGGCGGTTCCGACCTCGGCCTTGGCGATCAAGCAGAGCGGCGGATCCGACTCGACGCTGGCAGATCCCAAGGGCGGCGGTGGATCCGACTCCGACGCAGCGCAGCAGATCCAAGACGGAGGCGGTGGATCCGGCTCCGGGGCGGTGGATATGGCTCCGGATCCGCCGGTGCGCCAGCCTGCTCCGAATCCAGCAAGGGCTCCATCCCCACTGCCGGCTGCCGCTCCATCCCCACTGCCGGCTGCCGCTCCATCCCCACTGCCGGCTGCCGCTCCATCCCACTGCAGCGCATGCCATTTTTTTTATCTTAATGGAACCATATTGCTATCTGAAACTTTAAAAATATTGGCACCATTGCCTTCAGATCAGTGTGACGAAAAAAAAATATTATCAGCCTCAGAGGTACATAGATCAATTTATATCCAGGACAGATAATCTATCAGAAATAATCAGGAGAGCTAAACGCCTATCTTATTTAGACAGCAAATTCTTCAGATCGTAGCTTATCAGATAAGCCTGTTCAGCTTATAAGCGAGACTCGAAAAAGCTGAAAGAAACAGGGCCTCTATCCGAGCAGAATCAGGAAAGGCACGGCGAGCGGGGCGAAGAGTGCGAGCGCCACCGCGCGTGCGCCGCCATCACCGACCCTGCTTCCCACTCCCAACCACCGCTTGCGCGGACCTGCCGCCGCTCCGTTCTTCTGCGCGGTCGCGGGCGCCGCGCTGCCGCCGCCACCTGGAGGGCACCACGGTTAGGCGTGCGTTAGACAGGGTCAGATAAATATAACCAATGATGATGATGATTGCAATTGCAGTCGAAAACAAAAGTGCAAACTGCAAAGTGAGGTCCAAAAGAACAGACACACAGCAAGAGCACTACTGGGTGTGAAAAGGGTAGTTTGGTGGAACTTACTGGGTGCGCTGCCCTGTGCCGCTGCCTGCTTCGCGTACTGCTCGAACACCTGCGCGTCCTTGGAGTCCGGCGGCAGGTTCAGCAGCCCTGCCGTGTCGTCGTCGCCACAAAACAAAAACACATGTCAGTTGCAGGTTGCAGCATAGCATCCGAGGAAAAACATAGCACGGTATGAACCAGTGTGTTTAATTTATTCCCACGTTTTTTTTTGAGTAAGGAATGGCGTGCCTAACGAGCTAGCTAAAGGCCACTGCTAGGTCATAGGTGCATTTTGTTGGGGAAGAAAAAATTGGATACCGTCTGCATCCAATTCTTTTCCATTTTGTTGCCGACTTGTTGCTTCGATTTGTCTCTCCTTTTGTTTTCCTCTCTCTCGAGTGTGGAGTGTGGATCGGCAGGAGTCCACACTTGTCCCTGTCAGAGTGTTAGGCAGGCCGGGTCTTCTGGTAGCCCAAAGTGGCCAGACTGATCACTGATCAGGCGCATAATGATACCACCACGCGTGACACCGAACCGGCGCCGATCACGGGGTGGCCTGCCGACTGCCGTGCGCCCGCAAGGAAGCCCCGCGCGTTTGGAGCCTTCTCCGTTCTCCCACAGTCGTCTCTTTGGGCTCCGGCAGACTGCACACGAGACAATCCGGGTCGGTCACGAGATACTACTGTTTCCGTTTCCTATGGGACACGGAATTCATGTGATGTCCTTAGGCTTTTGTCGTGACACGGCGTTGTGTTCCTCGTTCGTCGTACGAGGTGACGCCCGGGAGGTGCCTACAGCTGCCGTCACGTCTGGAAAGGATCTGTCGGGCTTTGCCCTGATCTAGTACGTGTAGTATATGCAGAGAAGGTCAATTTACACCAAATTCGTATTTCTCTACTCCTATTTTCCTAGAAAATAATGGCGATTTTCTTAGGTTGACACATGGGCGTACGCGGCCGCATGCATATGTTTCAACTGTATCTATGTATGGCCTAGTAGTATTCGGCTTAGCAAAATTAACAAAGTGGAGGTGAAGCTATCTCGAGCTTATATATATATATATATATATATATATATATATATATATATATATATATATATATATATATATATATATATATATATATATATATATATATATCTTATAAAATCAAATTCTAATAACTTTCAATCTCCACATATAAACTATTCATGTACTATCATACTGCACTAAGTGTCACAACGTCTCCCCCAATAAGTGTTACAACATCTTCCACTTAATGCATTTATTACCCTATCTTTCAATTTTCACATGTAAACTATCCACTTGTAATAATTTTTCACGACCGGGTTCGTACCCCGTATTTTATTAAGAAGAAGAGAATTTTGTTATTACAAAAAAGTCATGAATGAATCTAGAAAAGCTCATACGTCTGTAATTTAGAACAGAGGAAACAGTGAATAAATTACGTACTGGGGCAGTCGGAGATGTTGGCGGGCGCGTTGCAGACGGCGGGGAGGCCGAGCGCCTTGGTGACGTTGAGCTTGAGCCCCAGGTTGGGGTTGTCACGGTCCTGGATCAGCACGCACAGGCACTTGCGGTTGCTCTGCAGCACCGCCTTGAGCCCCGCGCAGCAGTCGGGCGTCGGCGCCGACGCCGTCGCCTGCTCCTGCACGTACGTCAGGCACGTCGCCAGCCCCACCAGCGTGTCCGAGCACTCCGCCTGGTCCGCCGCGAAGTCGCCGCCCACCCCCGCCGACATCATCAGCATCGCCACCGCAACCATCACGGCGGACACAGCCATGGCCCTCCTCCTCGAATCCGTGGCGCGCTGCCGCCGGAGATGGCAGAGGAACGAAGTTGCACGGGTTGGGTTGGGGTTGGGCGCTTGCTTGGGCTGCTGCTGCGGCTGGCCGGGATGGCTTATGGCTGTAGCTAGAGGCGGGCGGGGAGCGGAATATATAGAGGGGGTGTGGCGGTGTGAGCGCGCCGGTGCCGGTGCGGCAGAGCGTGCGCACGCCTGCGCGGCGTCTGCATGTGGGCGCGCGGCGCGGCGTCATGACGGCAGGTGAGGTGGTGGAGAGAGATAGAGAGAGAGAGCTAGCGCGCGCGCGGGACCCGGGAGTTGGTTGCGGGCGGACCGGCCGGACGCGGCTGTCGCCGATGGGCAGCCACGCCCCACGCGGGCACCGGCGGCACGGCCTTGACGGGTGGTGCCGTGGAGGCACCGGTCTCGGCCGGGTGCACTGTGATGTAAGCGATGTAGCGGTAGTGACGTGCGTGGATCGATGGCGGCCGTCGAGTGCTGATTCGTTGCTTATTTGCCTCTGTCATATGCCGAGTGACAAGCCGCCTGATGGATGGATGCTGCTGATAGTAATTAAGAAGCGTCGCTTTGCGAACATTTGCACACACAGCAGCCGTTCATTTCATTTGGTTGGTCTTTAGTCTTTGGTCTTTGGTTTGGATTGGTAGACTTGCATTTTGTTGTGAGAGAAAAGAAAACATTTGTTGGTTTATTTGGTTTGACCTACCGAAACCAACCAAATGTAACAAGTGACAAAAAGATGGTTGTTCATCAAACTAATAAGGTGTGATATACACACATAACTTTTTTTTTGGCTTAAAAACATCACCGGAAATCCGAAATAGACTTGGCGATTCAATCACTTCTTCTTTTTTTCCAAGTAAAAATAAGATGCGATTTTCGTGGCCATGCATGTTAATCAAAACCGACAGGAGATCGCAGAGACGGACGGATGCTGCAACAGTGCGTGGTTTGGGCGTTTGGGAGGGTGCCGGACCTCCCAGGACCCACTGCAGTTTTCCCATTTGTCCGCCACTGATTTCAGGGTCATCAAGCCGCCGTGAAGGCCGTCGCTCGAGCTATCCAGCACAGCCCACCCAACAGTGCCCGTTTGGCAACCGATCGTCTGATGGGTTGTTGCTCTGTGTTCGTCTTTCTAGCCGGCAAGGTGACAGGGAGGCGCTGCTGTACAGGTGCCATAAACCGCCCTGCTTGTGCGGATTGGGATCAAAATATCCCGTGACGGACTACGAAAGGGACGTCCCACGACCATTTTCCCGGCCTTACATTTCCTGCGACCCGACACTGTAGCGTTGGGCTCGACTAGACGTGCTCCTGTGACGTCTGACTTAAGTTTAGCACGAATATTTATGTCCCCCAATGAATTTATACCATGACAATATATTACATGATTTTTCTATTAATACTTATTTGCTATTATGAATATTATTCTTTTTTACGGAGATAAATATTAGTTTTTACTAGTACAGGATTGTCCCCCAATGGACAGTTTTTGCTACTATACCTCCGTCCTAAAAAGACGGACACATCGACCGCCTCGGTAAGGCTTTATTTGGATTGAGATTCGCATCAATCCACATGTGTTAGAGTGGAATTTCAACTAAATTCCTTCCCAATACATATGGATTAAGATGAATCCGGCAACATCGAAACGAGGCCTAAATGAACATTAATAATGGTAATTTATTAGAGGTGTGGTCGGTTTATCTACCTCTGGAAGTAAAAAACATTTGTCTATCTTGTTGTAGTAGTGTGAGTGCAGATAAAGTCATCTCATTAAGAGCGCCAGCAGCAGCTCCTCAATACTTTATTTCGAATAGGATGGTCCGATACTATTTTTGTGGGTTATTAAGAAAGATGCTACATCAGATCACCAATAAACCTCCCCTAATATGGCAATATACGGGACCCAAATTATTTTATTTATTTTTTGTTTTCTTCTTTTCTTTTTCTCCCTCGGATTGCATGGGAAGCCATGCCCACGGTCCTTTTTCTCGCTTGGACCAGATCGACAGCCATGGCCCCTAGATCAAGGACACAAGTTCTTCTCCCGCAACCACACGAATCGACCAAGGCGCCTACTACTCGGTCTCCATCACCATCGCCGGTAGCACCTCCGCTAGACTCCCGCAACCCTAGAAGTTTTGTCTCCCTCGGTTCGACAAGATCTGCGGCGCTGTGGAGCTTGTCGTTCGGCTCCCCATGGATCGGAGGAGCTGGCATGGGCTTGTTGTGGAGGAGCTCGTGTGGGCTTGCTGTGGAGGTCATGCGCGGCACGACATGGAAGAGGCCGGCGTGTGTGCAGCATAGTGACAAGAACGACAACAGCACATCAACAAAAAAAAATGCAAAACTTTACATTAAGGGGAGCAACTTTGCAAAATTCATAAAAAATTATTAATTCCAAACTATTAGTACGCAAGTGAATAATAAGAGAATATTATTATATAAATAAATTAAGCATTTGTATAAAAATTAGTCCCTACTCCATTAGATCCGAAATATAGTGCATTCTGACTTCTAAAATTTGTGTTTGAAATATAGTGCATTCTATATGGTGTTAATGTCTAGATTTGACAAAGTTTGTTAAAAAGGAAACCATAATCTGAAGAGAAACACCTTAATTGGGTTTAATCTATGGGTACATGCGTCATTTAAGGATTTCCTTAAGTTACCTTAAAAATTTTGGAATACACTATATTACAAGATGTAGGGAGTACACTGCAAATTATTGGTGCTTAAGTAGCCTCTGTTATCATGTTAGCAAACAATAAGTAGGAATCATGTTATCCACGTTAGCACCGTAGTACATTGCAAATTATTGGTGCTTAAGGCCCCGTTCGCTTCGCTGAAAAAACAAGCCGAAACACTGTTCCGGCTGATTTGTTGTGAGAGAAAAATACTATTCCGGCTGAAAAAACAAGCTAAAAAAGATGGATTATAAGATAAGTGAACAGGGCCTAGCCTCTGTTATCATGTTAGCAAACAATAAGTAGGAATCATTCTATTTAAAAAAAATTATGTAATTAATTAAGGGTAGAATGGTAAATTTATAATAGAAAAATAATGTTTGAATAGTATAGGGATGATTGAAATAGTATAGTTTATCACATGTATTTCTCAAATTCAGACCATGCCACTCTGTCGTCGTCTCTCTGTTCTTCTCACCGAGTCTCCTTGCTGCGGTGGGCGGCGCCGCTAGGGCTAGGGGAGGCTACTGGCGCCGGGCACGCGATCCCTCCTTACCGGCCCCCGGCGAACGACGACACCGCGTAGATCCGGCGATGGCGGTGAAGGAGGCGAGATCCAGGCTCGGCGGCGTCCGCGCTCCCCTTCGTGGCGGCGGTGGCCGTCCCCAGTGCCGGGGGGTGCGGGCGGCGAGGTGCGCTCGTGGACGCGGCGGTCCGGGCAGCAACCATGGCGGGGATCGACACCGTGGAGGAGGACGACGGGGAGGCTAAGCCCGACAACGCCTGTTCCTAGCAGAGGCGGACCAGCTCCACGGCCCCCCCCGCCGCCGCCGACCCCGCCTGCATACGGCGTGTTGCCTGCTGCCGCCTGCGTTCGGTGTGCCCGCGCTCGGTCTGACATTCGGCGGCGCCAACATCAACCCTGGGCCGGTGGAGCTACTCGCGGCGGCGCTCCCACGGGTCCTGGAGGCGCTGGGTGCTACGACGCGCTGAGCGCACGCCTCGTTGAGCGTGCGGGATTCAGGGCCTGCTTCACGAGCCGTGCATGCTCGATATTTTGCCTCTACTGTAAATGTCTGATAAGCACTGTCAGTCTGCTATTGTGTCCGGTTTTCTAATTAGCCTTATCGATTAGCAAATAGCCAAATTAGTATTGGTTTTTTCAGTGGTAAAGTAACCGAAGTTTGGTGCACCATGTGTCAGCTATTAGTTTCAGTGTTTCTTGATCTATTGTTCATTTCTCTGATTCGTGCATGTCAGATTGCTTACCAGTTACGACTACCAAATTTTACTAATAATGGAGTTGTCTTAACACATTTACAGTGAACTTACACATACTGCATTACCCGTTTGTGTACTTTTAGTTATGTCCAATGTTACTGATAATGATTTGGTGAACCATCAGTAAAAATAAAGTGATTGCACTGTTTTTTTTTTCAGGCTATTGAATTAGAGGTAGAAGCTTACCCATTACAACATGAGCTGACAGCAAAAATTATTTCCCTCAACTTGGAACGAGTCCGACGCCTAAAGACATCCATGTTCGAAAGACACCTACTTATCAATCATCACTTTGGGGAATTCACAATGGGCAGCAATGGTGCAAGCGAGGCGAGAAGCCCAGTGGCGCTAGGGCTTATGCACCCAGCCGCGTCCTTCAGCGTCGCCGTAATGGGGTTCGGGTTCGGATCTTGGCGTGGGCGAGGGGTGCCGGGGAGGGAGGGCGACGGTCTTTGGCGAGGCGTGCCGCCCGGCCGCAAGCGGCGATGGCGATGGCGAGAGGAGGCTGCGGCTAGGGCCGAGGGCAGGGCAGCCTCGAGTCGAGGATTCTGCTCGCGTCGCCGGACTCATCACGTGCGGGTTGGTGTGGCGTGTGGGGAGGGGTATGGGGAGCCCCAATTACCATACTAACCTTTCACTCATCAAATTAATTAGAGCTAATAACTTGCTTAGAGCATCAGAGTGCCCCATATTCCTTCCTCATCTATGTTTTTTGGAAAAAAGAGAAAAACTCTTCTCTAAGTGTACCCCATATTCCTTCCCCATCTTTTGGCACCTGACAAACCGGCCGCTTCCGCGCGTAAAAATACGCGCATCGTAGTGGCGCGCATCGGTCTTTCGCCGCGCATGGCACGCGCGATGGACGAAGGACGAACTACCGCAGGCCATGGCAGCGGGCAATCATCGGCAATGGGCCCGTTTCATTTGGTCGATCTTGGTCTTTGGTTTAAATTTTTTGGTGGTGCTGATTTTTGTGAGAGAAAAACACCGTTATTTAGTTGATTT